TCCTATATTATTATTAGATGAATTGCTAAGGATGTTGGCATATCGGATGGCTTATGCCAAGCAATTTTTTGTAAATTTCGGGCATGAAGCCTGTGGCAGCGGAGCTCGTTTCAAAATTGCTTAATTTTGACCAAAAAAACCGTCGCATACGCATTGCTCAGGACTTGTTGGATGACATCAACGGCGATACAGATTTGCTTAAATGGATCATAGCTAGTGACGAATCATGGGTATATGGTTATGACATCGAAAACAAGTCCAATCGTCTCATTGGAATAGCTCAGGAGAACCAAGACCAAAAGAAGCACGCCAAGTTTGATCAAATTTCAAGGTTTCGCTTGCTGTTTTCTTCGATTACCGTAGCGTAGTGCTACTGGAGTTCTTACCACATGGGCGTACGGTTAACCACTGTTCCCACGATTGAAAAAACCCATGAAAGAACTGTGTTTGCTCAAGGACATACCAAAAAGTGCATATAAGAACTGCTTCGAGGAGTGGAAAAAACGCAGGGACAAGTGTATTTTATCTGACGGGGAATACATATTTTTTTGAGAAAAATGATAATTCACCTCATTTTCCTACCAGATTTCGTATATCTGGTGTATCAGTAACTTTGTAGTCCATTGAATTATCATTTGGAACATAAAATTTATATTACACTATACAATAACTGTCAAGATTTTTGGATTAAAAGTGTTTCCCCAACTGTCTATTTGAACAATGGAAATATAAAAAAGAATTATGGAAAATAAAAAAATGTTTTCAAGATTTTTTTTCAATTCATCATTTTTTTCACGACAACAATATGGTAAAAGTATTTTTATGTGCCGAACTTGTAACTTTGTTTTTATAAACAATTTATCAGCATTTTTCAAACAAGACTCAACCTCTAACGGAAGCAAGAAACTCTTTGGAAGGTTCGAAATTGATGAATATTTCAACCTAGCAGACCACTATTATAATATTCATGCAGTCATTGTTCACTGTGGTTCTGGCGTTGAATGTGGTCATTATTACTCCTTGGTTAAAGAAGAAACGGACTGGTTTAAGTTTGACGATAATCGTGTCACGAAGTGTTCTGGCGATGCATTGAATTTATTGGAGCCTCTGGAGACACCCTACATTTTGTTTTATAAAGATCAAGATCTTCAGATGATGTGGTGCTGCAGGGGGTTTTCCTGCAGCTGAAAAAGCAAATGCGCCACTGGAATCAATGAAGTCGCCCCGGAGCGCCAATTAATTTTTATTGTTGTTTTTATTTTATTTTCATCGTTATTTGAAAATACATTTGTACCCAGCATTAATCATTGCCATTGTTAGTTGCAAAAACAGTAATGATATGACACTCATAAAAAAAATTACAAGATCATTTTGTGGTCTTAACACTAAGGCAGGTCGAAACAACGCTGAATCATAAATGCATTGTACTTTCAGCTAGTTGAAAGCTGCAGTATTTAACTGGAAGCCCGAATAACGTCGGTGGTCGATGTCGAATTTTGGCCTTGCAACTGACCGCCTTGGAAGCCCCCCCATTCCCTCTCCCGGGTTAAGTGCCCTGGGTTGAAATCTTCCCCACACAGTTAGTGTGAGCAGAACATCCCATCTCGTCCATCCATTCCCGCTCCTCCGGAGCGGTCCTCGACTTACTGATGGGCACTTCAGCAAGATTGACATCTGACCTTCTTTGTTCGAAAGTCAGCCTAAGCATGCTTTTATTTTCTGATCTAATGTATTGTTTTATCTTTGCTTTCCTAACTGAATTTTTGCATGGGGTCCCCCAAAACTAACCGGAGACTAATGTTTTAAAAAAGAGATCGCTGTCGAGTGTTTCTCGTTGAACCTGAAAAGAAAGTCTTTGTTATCTGTTAGAAAAAATTTTATACTTACCGGAGCCGCCTGACAGCGACTCTAAGAGGTGGTCGTTGATTCTGGTTGGTTGGCCTTCTATGCCGGAATCTAGGGTCATCTCTGTTTAGTGCATTGTGTAGATCGCTTAGCGCTGGATTGTCGTGCGCTCGAATTCTGTAAAACGCGTCTTCTGCGTGTTGTCTCATATATGCGTCTACGTAGTGTATGTTCAGGTCAAGTTCTCGGAATATGTATAGTCGAAGTGAACGGTATTGTGGATACTTGAAGGTGTCGGCGCTCCCAAAGGCTAAAAAACCAATACAGAGAAATGAAGCCGCTGCCAATTACTCCACATGGACTGAAGAATTGGCGGGTTCGTATTGGATAATTTTTACTAACCAAGTTTTATGATTGACTGAAGAGTCATAAAATTTAATTTGAAGTGATGTTACGGTGTTGAATAGAATGCAAGGATGGTTATAGCCTTCAGTTTAGGAACTGATCGCGATCTGAATGTTGAAAATCGATATTGACGCAGTTATAAATACTTAAAATTTGTGTTATCTGGACAAGTATTAATAGTAATAACGAGTGTGATAACAACGCAGACTTTTTCCTGTGAAGTGATTCCAATAGCGATAGTGAACAATGCGAAAAAAAGATACCAGTGACTAAGATTCGGATTCATTTGAATATTGAAACACAGAGAATATATTTCAATGTATATAAGAATCTACATCACAAGTTTGGTTTCTAGGGATAAAACTATTAAAAGCAACATCAGATTTGACTGAAATTCCTTTCTCAACTGTACGTAAAATAGTCGAAAACAAACCTCATGAACACAAAACCCGATGTGATACGGGATTACCAAAACCTTTGGATGTTCATCTGATAAAATCATTGAAAAAACAATATACCACTTTTAAAAAAGCAATGAGATTTCTACAACTGGAATCATAAGGAAGAAATTGAATAATTAGAACGAATAACATATAGACAAGAACAACGGTAAATTTTCTATTTGAACGAAACTTGGTATGACACTCACGACACAGTTACGGAAGGGTGGACTGATGGTTCAAGAATGTGTATGCCTAACATGTCTGCAAACAAAAGATCGCGAATAATCATTGTGCATTGCGCAAGAAGTACAGGATGGGTTTCGAGTTCTTTGAAATTATGTGAAAAAAAACTGCAATGTTGACTATCATAAGAACATGTAAGCTAATATTTTTGAGGAATGGTTTGAAAACACATTGATTCCAAATTTGGATGCGAATAGTGTAATATAGTTCTTGACAATAGATAAATTAGAAAACAGAATAAAAAAAATACAGAACAAGGATCAAGCCACCCCAACAGACAAAACAACACAACGATGGACAGCATTTACGTACGTAGGACACCGAACCAAAAAACTAACAAACGTCTTCAAGCCACTGAACATCAACATCACATAAACATCAATATCACATAAAAGCCAAACACAGAAATAACACAAAAAATAAAGAATTATTGAAAAGAAGAAGACAAAAACCAAAACAGGATCTACAGTATACAATGCTCGGACTGAAACAAATGCTATATCGGCTAAACCAAGAAAAAACTGATCCAAAGGTACGATGAGCACAAAAAAGCATACATAAACCCAATAGTATATAAATCAAACCTCGCAACACACGTCATACAAAACAAACATAATTTCCCCCACCAGAGAACATAAAATTCATGAAACAGTGAAATAAGGAAAACCGCATGGACATTTAGAAAAACTTAAACATCCATAAATTTAGAAGTCATAAATCAATTATCGAGGAACAAGTACAAATCAAAACTCAACAAGACCTAACATTCAATATACTAAACAAATCAATACAAACTCCTAGAAACAGTAAACATAGAGAAGATCCAACACAAAGAATAGTACATGATGTAATCCAAATACAGGCAAATTTTCCTAAAGTACCTGGCGTACCTGAGGCGTTCGGACCGTATAAAAGGACATACAACAGGATGACACGTTCAGTTTGAGTAGAGCCTAGATGATGATAGTNAGAGAATTGCTGAAAAGTATGGATACACCACACTGAGACTTCCCCCCTATTTTTGTGTTTTCAATCCCATCGAGTTGATTTGGGAAAATCATCAGGCGTAAAAATATTTTTTCCTAAATTTGATAAGAGGGTAATAGAACTAATTAAAGAAGAAGTATCTAATATTACCGAAGAAGACTGGCAGAAAAGGATTAAAAAAGTAATTTTAGTTGAAAAAGACTATATGGAGATTGGACACTTCCATATTAATGGTGGAAATAAATTCATTATTGATTTAAATGAGGACAGTGATAGTGAAACAGAGAATATGGAAGAGGAATTATCAGAAGCTTTCGAAGAAAATTAGTGAAGTGTTTTTGAAGCAATCGATTTCATATATATTTGAGTAAGTAGTATTCAGAACTAATTTCAATTATCACCCTGATATAATGTTGTCCGAGTTGAACCGCGTCTGTAATTTTCATCTTTTCGACGTTTCGGCTACTGTTTTGGAGCCATTTTCAAGAATCACTTGGAACTGTACTTACATGACTCAAGGACGAGGTCTCAATCTCCCTTGCCCCCAAGTCTCGTCACTAGCTCTATGCTTGCTGTGTTCGGCTCCAAGTGCGGTTCAATGTGGACAACAAACGAAAGTAGTTAGCTCTCTAACTATTGTTGCAAGGTAGGTTGCACTATATCGTTCACTTGAACTATACCTATTCGGTACATATCTTGGAGCGTTCACGGCAGCCCTTACGCTTCTTCGACCTATTATTGGTAAAAGGTTTTGTCGGGCAGATCTCGCCAGACCGCCTGATCCTCGAATATCTTTCATATGCGAGAATTGAGTTCTCTTTTGATCCCATAGATGGCGTCTTTGTAAGGGGATATGTTGTCACCCTCTTTTATTGAAGAGTGGTTGATATTATGTATAAGGGACGACTACAATAGTCTCAAAATGACAATTATCAAACAATATCTGACTTTTTTGTTTCCCATTCCAACTCACAGAATCTTCGTTGGGTAGAGGTGCTTATCAGAAATGTTTATTGAATTCGTCACGAAATTTATTATACGATGACTGAAAATACATCCCGCCTAGTTATCATTACGTTTTTTCACAGAACGCTGTACAAATCCAAAACAATCTTATCAGTCGAGATAACGTGATTATCTGTACCAACTTACTCACCTCATTTTGTTCCATAGCAGGTGCTTTGTGCCTAACAGAAATATTTGTGACTTTTCAAAGTTGACTGAAGATAAACTTGTGCCAAAATGACTAGTATGGAAACAGTGGGTACCCTTTTCATAAAACTGCTGAAATTGGTGAGTAACGTTTATTAGAAGTATACAATTTTATCTGTACCTACACTAGAGTAGGGCGTAGACTGGAATATTTCAATCCGCAAGTGAAACATTTTAAAACATCTATCAAAATTTAGTGATTTCTAATTTTTTATTTCGTTCCCATATATATTGAAAATCATCAGTTCCAAAATCAGATAGTTAGATACATCTTTTATTCGTTCTGAACCTTGTTTATTTCATTTAGATAGCAGTTTATGCATGTTCAGTCAGGTTCATGGTGCCTAATATAAACCAAAACCAAAAATGAATGAGTAGATTAGAAATGAATAGAAGATTATTTAATCAGAAATAACTCCAGTCAAAAATAACTGAAGAAATACACACTTTTAAATTTGTCATACAGAAAGTTTCAATAATTTCTATAAAGAGAGAAATATTTTATTTTTATTTATTTTTGCATGAAAATTATTGTTTTCTATGTTATTTCGTTGAAAACTTTTCGATACGTAATAACACAAACAACACCATATATTTATTGGTGTATTGTTTAATATTTTTTCCAAAAATAGGAAAAATATAAATTAAGCACCTTCTGAAAAATTATGGACATATTACAGTGTTATTCGGAATGAAGGAATTGAATTGGTTAGTGAAATGAAAGGATAGTATGAAACTTTAAAATACAGGTCATTTCGATTTANTGATACAATACTTTTATTCAAAAGGCCTCAGACCAACTAATATAAAAGCTGAACTGGTTCTACTGGATTCGTTTACAACAGTAAAATATTGGGTAGAAGAGTTAAAACGAGGCCGTACGAGCTGCCAAGACGAGCATCGCAGTGATCGACCAAATGAGATGACGACTCCAGAAACGGTGAAGAAAATCCACAAAGCGGTACTGAATGAACGTCGACCGGAAGTGCGCAAACTAACAGGCTTAGTAGATATTTCAAAAAGTGCGGTACATCGTATATTATCTGAAAATTTGGACATGAGACAGATGTATGTAAGATGGGTACCGCGAATGCTCACACTCATGAAGATGTTCCAATTGAGTGCGAAGCGAAGTTTCCCAGCGACAAAGCAGAATTCTTGCGATGTTTCATAACCACAGATGAAACATGGGTTTATCACTTTACACCCGAGACACAAAACAATCAAAACAGTGCACTTAAGAGGGAGAACCGGCTCCAAAGGAGACGAAGACCGTTTCATCTGCAGACAATATCATAGCATCGGTTTTTTGGGATGAGCGTGGTATAATTTTCATCGAATATCTTAAAAAAGATTAAAATATCAAAGGAGTATACTATGCCAACTTATTGCAATGTTTGAGTGGAAAAATCAAGCAAGATAGTAATCTAATGTAATGTTTATTCACCAAATACAAATAGAAGTTATACATATCTGTCACATATAATTTACACATTTATTGTGGCTAATACCTATTCACACTCGGCCAAATAAACCCAGCTTCTTAACGAAGCCGATTAGTTTGTATGGTGAGTGGTCTTTCAGGTCAGATAATGAGAGTACGGATCTGTCGAACTCAAAAAATCTGATTCGGTCCCCAGCGGGGCAGGCACAAAGTATATGCTCTGCTGTTTCATCATTTTCCAGACAGAGGCGACACACACTATCTTCCGATAGTCCAAGAAATGATGATTCAAATGACAGTGTCCTGTAAGAAGGCCTGTTAGGCATCGTAGTTCATCCCTACTGTAGTCCAACAGCTGTTTGGTATCAAGCTTCGAAGGGTGAATAAACGCCATAGAGTGAGCCAATCCTGGAAGATTCTGCCAGAAGTCCATAAATCTTCTTGCCATCCAGGTGTTCAGTGTTTGTTTGGCAAAGCCCAAAGAGATGCCAATGACAGGTTCTGGTCCAATGAAGGCGCTTGCAGCACCCTCTTTTGCAAGAGACTCAGCAACTTCATTGTCTTCCAGGCCAGTATGGCCAGGAATCCATACTAGAGACAATCTGTTAAGTCTTCCTATCGAGGAGAGTCGCTTTTGGCGAATATTTTTGACTTGTGAGTGAGGTTGGATTTATCCAATCTCTCCGCACACAATTCAATAGCGTAAATTTCC